CCAACAGGTGCTGTGAGAGGTAGGCATAAGAAATACCATCTATAGTCCAGAGAATTATGGCCCAGATGAAGAAATTTTCACTACTGGGATAAGAAATATTGTACTTCAAATGGCTCCTACATCCCTCTTTGGGTCTCTAGTGGCCATTCTTGCCCCTCACTTAGGGCAGCCCATAAGCAACGTTACCTGTACAGTGGCAGACTTAGGAGAGGCTGAAGCAATGATAGCATGGAAAGAAATAAGGTCTGCTAACTCACAAGAAGAATTTAAAAGGAGCCATGAAGGTTACAAGGATGCAGATGGGGGTTGATTTAATATGGGCAGGAGCAGATGGAAGGAAATTAGATGGGAAGTCAAACAGGATCTTACTGGAGCTATGGCAATAGCTGAAACCAGAGCAGTAGTTCCAGCCATTAAGACCAAAGAGGCAGAGGTTGGAGACAGAGCCATGAGTCCAGTCTGTGTGTTTGCAAGACTTCCTGCTGGAGAGTGAGCCAACCTCACTTGAACTCACACAGGAAAATAATTGGGGAACATGGTTTGACTGAGGAGAAGGTTGAGGTACCTGTCCTGAGGTATCGGGGGGGACTGGAGGCCACATGTCAAAATATCTATCCATTGGTCCCCAGTGAAAATATAACATGTCCTGGCTCTGGTGGATGCAGGGGATGAATGTTCACTGATTTATGGTAACCCTGAGTGGTTTCCCAGGACCCTTGCTATTATAGATGGATACAGGGGTAAGGCTATCAGAGTGAAACAATCCCAAATCCCTTTGGGAATAGGGCATCTACCCCCAAAGGAGTACACTGTTTATATCTCTCCCATCACTAAGTGTATTTTGGGGATTGATATCCTGCAGGGTCTATGGCTGCAGACCACTGCAGGTGAGTTCAGGCTGAGAGTACGGGTGGTGAAGGTAGTTCTGAGGGGACATGTTAGGTACCTGCTCATAGCTTTGCCTGTGCCTTGGCAGGTGACTAATACCAAACAATACAAACTGTCTGGAGGGCCTAAAGAGATTGGAGAAACTCTCTATGAGCTGGAAATGGTGGGTATTATAAAGCCCACCCATAGTCCTTTCAATTCCCCAGTGTGGCCAGTAAAAAAGCCAGATGGCTCCTGGCATATGACTGTGGATTACAGAGAATAGAATAAAGTCATACCCCCTATGCATGCTGCTGTCCCCTCTATTGCAGGCCTGATGGATACCCTCAGCCACAAACTAGGAACATACCATTATGTGGTAGATCTTGCTAATGCCTTCTTTTCCATTGACATTGAGCAGGAAAGTCAGGAACAGTTTGCCTTCATATGGGAAGGATGGCAATGGACTTTCACCGTCCTTCCACAGGGATACCTCCACAGCCCCACCATCTGTCACGGACTTGTAGCCCAGGACTTGGCTACATGGGAGAAGCCGCCAACGGTGCGGCTGTACGGTTATATTGATGATGTCATGCTCACATCTGATTCTCTTTCAAATCTAGAAGGTGCAGCACCTAGACTTCTACAACATCTACAGGAGAAAGGATGGGCTCAGCACCAAGGTTCAGGGACCTGGTTTGTCTGTCAAATTCTTGGGGGTCGTCTGGTTGGGTAAGACCAAAGTTATACCAGAGGCAGTTATAGATAAAGTCCAGGCCTTTCCTACCCCTACAACTGTGGCATTGTTACAGGAGTTTTTGGATCTTCTAGGCTACCTGAGAGTGTTTATCCTGCACTTGGCACAAATTCTGAAGCCCTTTTACCAGTTGGTACAAAAGGGCTTCGGGTGAGACTGGGATGAGACATGTACATCTGCCTTTACTACAGTAAAATGGGCAGTCAAGGCCATGCAGGCCTTGAGTGTGATAAACCCATCAAGGCCCTGTGAGCTGGATGTTCATGTGATTGAAGACGGTTACGGCTGGGGTCTCTGGCAGTGGCTTGAATGAACTCGCCAACCTATTGGATTCTGGTCACAACTCTGGAAAGGGGCAGAGCTACGATACACTTTGATAGAAAAACAACTGGCTGCCATGTATCACGCCTTGCTGGCTACAGAACCCATCACTGGAATGGCCCCGATAAAGTTAATAACCACCTCTCCCATCTTGGGGTGGGTACGAGACTGCACCCAAAAGCCAAGGAGTGGTGTGGCACAAATGCCCTACACTGGCCAAGTGGGGTGCTTACTTACAGCAGTGTAGTACCCTCTCTACTAGCCCCCTGAGTGAAGAACTCCAATGCTTATTGGGCCAGTGACATATACTAGTGAAAAGCAGGAAGAATTTATTTTAGAACCATGAGTAGCAGAGAGTCCCTATCGGGAGGGAAGAGCCCCTATGCCTGAAGGTGCATGGTACACAGATGGCTCCTGCCATGGGCAGCCCCCAAAATGGAGGCCATAGCTTTTCATCCTAAGACTGAGACAATATGGATGGAAGATGGTGAGGGGAAGAGCAGCCAATGGGCAGAGTTGTGGGCTGTGTAGCTTGTGATCAGCCAGGAGCCCTCCCCAATAGTTGTCTGCACTGAGAGCTGGGCTGTCTATCAGGGCTTGACCCTGTGGCTACCAACCTGGTATCATGTCAACTGGTTGGTTGGTCACCAACTCCTTTGTGGGCAAGAATTGTGGCAAGACTTTGGGCCTGTGGTCAGACTAAAACATTATGTATATTATGTGACAGGTCATTTGCCACTGGCATCCCCAGGAAATGATGAAGCAGATAAATTGGCCCAGATATGTTGGTTAGAAGGAAAACCTTCCTCTGATATAGCCCAATGGTTATATCAGCATTTGTTGCATGTGGGGCAAAAGACAATATGGGCTGTGTAGCCTGTTGGTGGGGCTTGCTTCTTACCTTTGAAGAAGTCAGCAGAGCTCAGCAGGAGTGCATCATATGCTCTAAAAGGGACTTATACTGAATTCCACAGCAATGTGGGACAATAGCTAAGGGGCAGATACCCCTTGCCAGGTGGCAGTTACACTATACTGGGCCTCTGCCTGTGTCAGAAAGGTACCAGTATTCCATGACTTATGTAGACATAGCTACTGGACTTCTAGTTGCTTTTCCTACACATTGTACAGACCAACAGACAAACAAAAGAGGCCTGAAGCATCTCTTTGCAGCCTATGGCCTACCATAGGTAATTGATAGTGATCAAGGCACCCATTTTACTGGACATGCACTACATGAATGGGTGTAACAGTCAGGAATCAAATAGAAGTTTCACGTGCCATACAATCCTACCACAGCAGGCATGATAGAGAGGTACAATGGTTTAAGATCTGGACTGAAGTCAGCTACCAAAAATCTGTGGTGATGGTTAGTCTGCTTATGGACAGTGCTAAAGCATTTGAATAAGAAACCTGGAAAGTGAGCCTGAGCCCCTTAGACAAATGCTAAGGCATATTGCTGCCTCCCCTATACAACTGCAAGTACAAACAAAGGAAGAAAGAATCATTGAAGCTGAGGTTTGGCCACCAGAATAATATCTTGCCGCCAGCACCAACTGCACTGAACCCTGGAGACTCCACCGAGTGGACGTGGCCTCGGACCTTTTGACACATGGACCAACAATGGCTGGCTCTCCTGGAACCTTGGGAACAAGGCCTGGAAGCTGACCTCCTGTGTAACAGCAGAGTGTCCCCCAAAGATCACAGTAGTACAAACTGAATGACCAGAAGGTAGGAACATCTTACCAGGGAGTTTTGTTTTATCATTATGGCCAGTGCCTGCACCTCCAGTAGCACTATATATAGACCCTTCAGTAACCCCCACGGGGGAAGAAGTAAAGGTATGGCATACTAGACCTGGAAGGAACCCCCTTCCTGCTACAGTCCTATCACAGGACCACTCTCTTGCATGCATCCTACCTGATGGACAAGATTTGTCTATATTAGTATCATTAAAACATGTGCTTATCATCCCTAAGGTCTTTGTGGGTTGGGCACACACCCTAGCCAAAAACTGCTACTCGCTGGGGTACATGGAGCTCCCTATCCATACCACTACTAAGTGTGGGTCATTAACTCATCTGAGTAGAACTCGTGTTGAATATAGCTGGAATAACCTCCTCAGGTTTAAGGATTATTATAATTTTTGCTACCTGTATCAAAATTTTGTATCTTAATTTCTGTTATTATCTATATGTTATTGTTATCCTCTGTTGCTCTTGTGGAATCTGATTACAATGCTCCAGCTTTCTCTCACAGGGACCATTGTGGAAGATTGAGAGTATGAAGACTGTGAGGCGAGAATCCTGGAGCGGTGGAATGCAGATAAAGTGAAGGTTCCTATGGCCAGGATCCTCACTTGAACCTAAATTACTTGATGATGTAACTGGCCTGCTGTTTGGGCCACTGCTTCCACACCTGTAGGCAATTAGTATTATTGACTGAGTTACTATATAAAGAGCTCTGCCCAGTGCTCTGAGAAAAGGCAGAGACAAAGAAGGATTACAGACCTGCAGACTGTTGGATGCAGATGTAATTCTAGTGCTCAACCTATCGCCAGGAGAACAAGCAGAGTAATAAACCATTTCACCCCAAGAACATTCTATTGTCATTCCTTGGTCTCACTGAATTCATAGTGAATTTGCCTGGGGCTGAAATCCACTGGCAAAACACCCTTAATTTCTCATTATTTCATCACAGGATATCAATATAGCTTACTAAAAATAAGGCAAGTCCACTCCTAAAAAGAAGACACTGTTCCTCAAGACCTTTGACATGCCAGAATCATTGTACTGTCAAGAGCATTTCTCTCCACCAGGACATTTCCAAAGGTTACCAATGGGGAAATCTTCATCAATTGGGCTCTCACATTTTGCCAGAGACTATATCATGCCTTCCACATTCCACTCAGGAAAGGGCCCTTTGTGCCAGCCAGAAAGTGAGTGAGCCAGTCCTAAGCCCCATCATACTGTCAGCTTCCGCAGACTTCACTCTCAGTCAGTTTCACCACCTATGTCAGTTTAGGTCCTCCAAGAAGCAGATGCTAAGATGTGTTAGACATGCAAACGATTTACTCGGGGGAGGATAACAGGAAGGGAGCAGGAGTGGATATGGAGACCCTCAGACTTCCTTGCAGATATGACTCCTGCAAAAGGAGAGAAGAAAAGGATTGGTTGGGAAGAGGATCAAATCTCAGTGCAGTCCACAGAAAGTCTTGCCAAGCTGATGGAGAGCTCCCAAGAGAAGACTGCCACTAGAAGAGCCCACAGCAGGCAGGCAAGGCCCAGATGGAACACCACACTGTGTTCAGTCAGTGGCTGGGAGCCACCAGGGAAGCATGGCTTTGGTGGGAGCACCCTGTGGCTCTAAATTGAGGTAGGTGGAAACTGACAGTCAATTGTGACCAGAGCAGTTCCTATGGAATGATGGTGTGCAGGGTGTAATTCCATCACTGCTCTATGTGATGTGTCCTACCCCAGTGTTTCTGAGGATCCTCAGACTAGAGTGCTTGTATCACATGTCTCTGGTTTTTGAATTCCTACTCCTGCTTAAGTACTCTGTCTCCCCTATTGGTCTCACTACCATTTTTCGACAACCCCAATGCTATCTGGGCATCTCTGCCCCAAATTTGAAGAAAGACCTTCACTTCATTCTACAAAGTGACATTACCACAGTGCTGTGAGAGGTAAGATATGTGACAACAGGGAAAATATTTGTGATAATGGGGACAATGCCAAGAGAGAAATGAACCATTTAAATTTTAATTTAGCTGTCATAAATCCCCTGGCCCTTCCCTGCCACAAGGAATCTTTTACTAGTTTTTTTTCATCCCTCCCACAACCTACCCCTCCACCCCTCATTTCTCCTCCTGAGAAATATTTCCCATTCAATTCATTTATTATCTTAGTTTCTCAAAATTTTCCTTCTCCTGGGTTGTCAGAAGGAAAAAAAATATCAGTATTCCTCTCTTTTGCATTCCGTTGTGTAGTTTGTGGACAGTTTTCTGTCTTTTATTTCAACTGCTACCTAAGATGAGGATCTGGAGTCTAACTAGGCATAACTAAAAAAAGGGTTAATTAAAGTGTTTATTTTAAATATTGTAGCCAATCTGGGATTTCTGGTACTTTTTCATATCTTGGTTTTTGCCCCTTTTGACTGAATTTCTATTTGTTAACAAATTATTAAAAACTCAGTCTCAAGATTAAACAGAAGGTTATGATAGAGGTAATCCAAAGATACAAGAAAACAAATAGCCATAAGCCACATCCTTTTCTATGCAATACCTTATCTCAAGTTCATTTTCCAATCTATTGGTATTTTCATCTTTGAAGATAGGTAACATTTAGTAATGGCAAATGTACATAAAAAAGACTACATATCAATTTATGAACAGATGTAGGCATGTAGCCAACATGTATAAAAAGAAAATGTTTTAGGGAACTGATTCTTTGATGTGTAAGTTCTTTTGTAAGAATTTTTCTTTATCTCTCCCATGAAAAAAAACCTAGTTCAAAGCACAATCAGTCTTTCATGGAAAGGACAATGGATGGAAGCAATTTGAAGCAAATGCCCTTTGATTAAAAAGATGACTATTTGACTTCTTAATAAATAATCAACATCAAAATAAAAGTCTAGATCTTTTCAAGTTCACATGTGTATGGTTTATTTTAGCAGAATTAAAATGGTATATGTACTTTGAACTGTATAGTTTAAATACTTTTAAAAGACTCCTTGGAAATAATTTTAAAATCACCCAACTTCACTCATGCACTAAAGCATGGAAAACTGAAAGCAAATCAATAGCCCCAGAATATGTATTTGCCTTTCAGCATCACCTTATACCTGTAGCTTTTATTCTGAAACTACCCTTGTATGTAGTTTGTTTTGAAGTCACTTTTGATAGCGGGAGGTATGTGCTGCAATATACAGATAAGCAGAAAATGAACTGTGGATGAAAAAGCTATTAGTTCTAAAACTCAAAGAGAGTAACAGCCTCAGCACTGTGTGTTTGTCTTTTTCTGATTTAAAATTTTCTCTCTTCTATATGCCATATGATTGCCCCAATTTTGAACAGCTTATTCTGCACTTGCATTAGTTTATTGCTACAAGAAATTTTTTTCTTACCTACAAATTCCTTAGAAAAGTGATGATGTTCACACATCTTGTCTCCTAAAATGCCCCAGAAATGGCAGCTATGGACATGGGGCAGGAACTCTGGTTGCTTCCCAGCTGACAATGCCACTTGGCCCCTGCTTCAACCATGGCTGTTTCTTTAAAAGACAAAGTTTCATTTTCATTTCCAAGAGTCCAGACAAAGGTTCTCAGTGAGTTGATATTTTCCACTCAAGCAAGCACAAAGCATAAAAATACAAACAATAGCTCTGCACTCAAATTTAATTCTAATTACGTAGTTCTCTGAGTAGGCATTAGCTGAGAAAAAAGAAATCTGCTTATGATCTGATTGTCCTTTGTTTGTGGCAAAAAAAGATTTCTTAAATGGTTGGAATTATTAAACTAATATTAAACTATTAAAAACTAGTATTAGTTTATGATCTAAAAAAATTAAGTTAAATTCGAAGTGAGGAGAATGAAAAGTATAAATTCTCTTCATATCCCCTTGTCTAGTAAAATACTTTTTATGGTAGTAATCACATAACAGTTTTCTGTGTATATTTCATGACCATTTTATGCATTTACATATACACTGTATATATGTAGTGGGTTAAATGATGTCCCCACAAAATTTATATCCACCGGGAATCTCAGAATGTGATCTTATCTGGAATAGGGAAACTGCAGATGTGGCTAAGGTAAGGATTTTGAGATGAGATCATCCTGGATTAGAGCTCCAAATCAATGATGAGTATTCTTATAAGAAATAGAAAAGAAGACACACACACAGAAGGAAAACCATGTGAAGACAAAGGCATTAATTGGAGTGGTACTTCTATAAGCCAAGACACTGCAAGGATTACCTGCAGCCACCAGAACCTGAAGAGAGGCATGGAATAGATTGTCCCTCAGAGCTTCCAGAAGGAACCAACCCTACTGACACCTTGATTTCAAACTTGTGACTTCCAGAGCAGTGAAAGAATAAATACCTGTTATAGGAAAGGGAAAAAGATGTCAACATGAGAAGTGAGGCAGCAACCTCCTCCCAAAATCACATATAACATGAAAATACACGAAATACAACTAATCCTGAAAGGGAAACCCAAAAACTGAAGAACAGAGGGCCTGCACCTGGGGAAAAGAGAAGACCTCACAGAAAATGGTAAAGTAGCAAAGCCATGATCAAGCAGGACCCAACACTCACCCCACCACAGCTCCTGGGCAGGAGGAACAGAAACAGAGCAGGGAGGAAGTAGAAGCCCAGGACTGCTAAACACTCAGCCCTGAATATCTGCTCTGGGAGCATGAACCCACATTACATGGTGCTCTGGAGATCAGTGGGTTGGAAAGCAAAGACAGGCAGAGTACTTGGAGTGCTAAAGGGGGAAAGATTCCACAGAATTTGCTGCTCAGGAGAAAGGACAGGTGGAAAAAAATCATCCTGGCACACTCAGCCCAGCAGGTTGGGAACATTCAGGAGCTTCAGACGCTCTGTGCCCCTGGCTAGCAATGCAGCACTGAGACCACCACAGCTATTTGAAGCCTGCTGCTCCTTCCTCTCAGCAGGCACCAGACTGTACACCTGCTGCCCTCACCATCACACCAGGCCAGCTGGAGGGTGGCCCTGCCTACAGCAGCTACAGGGGCATAATGCAGAGGCTCCTCCCTGCGCACTCAGCACACTGGACCTGGCAGGGGAGGCAGGCGCTGAAGCTGGGAAGCAGGAAAGTTCTTTCCTCTTGGCAGGCACTGGTTCTGCTCACCTGTGACCCCCTGCCATTGTTCCAGGTACAGGGCAGCTCCAGAGAGTAGAGCTTCTGGGCACTAGAGGGTGCCACCTATACAAAGTTATTATTCCATAAGAATCACTAGAATAAAACACAAAAATTTTTTGTACAAACAACAATCCCACAAACACCAGGAAGAGAGCTCAGTGAAATAGAAATCACCAATCTTCTTGATAAAGATTTCAAAATAAAAATCATAAACATGCTCACAGAGCTAAAGAAAATGTTCAAGATCTCAGGGAGAACTTCAAAAAAGAGACAGAAACTTTGAAAAATACAGTATCTGAAATGAAACATGCAATGGAGGGATTTCAAAGCAGATCAGATGAGGCAGAAGAGACAGTAAATGAAAGAGAAATCAGAGAAGAGGAAAACAAAGAAGCCAAGGGACAGAGAGAAAAAAGATCTCCAGGAATGAAAGAATAATAAGACAACTCTGCAACCAAACCAAATGGAACAATATTTGCATTATAGGGGTACCAAAATAAGAGAGATAAGGGATAGAAAGTCTCTTTGAGTAAATAATTGCTGAAAACTTCCCAGTCTGGGGAAGGAAATAGTCTCTCAGGTCATGGAAGTGCACAGATCTCCCAACATAAGGACCCTAGGAAGACAACACCAAGACATGTAATAATTAAAATGGCAAAGATCAAGGACAAGGAGAGAGAATTGAAAGCATCCAGAGAGAGAAAAAAGATCATGTATAAGGAAAAGCCATTCAGGCTATCAGCAGACTTCTCAGCAGAAACCTTACAGGCCAGAATGGAGTGGCATGATATATTAAATGCAATGAAACAGAAGGGTCTCAAACAAAGAATACTCTCACCTGGAAATATTATCATTTAAATTTGAAGCAGGAATTCAACAATTTCCAGAGAAGCAAAAGCTGAGGGAATTTACCTCCCACAAAATGTCTCTACAGTGTATTTTAAAGGGGCTTCTCTAGATGGAAGTGCTCCTAAGGCTAAATAGTTATCACCAGAGAAAATAAAACCATGTTAAGGAAGTAGACCAATATATTACTAAGCAAATGCAAAATTAAATCAACTACCCACGAAATTGAAACTAGAGAAAAGAGGAAAACAAAATCAGTCAAGGAATACACAAACAGTACATAATATGACACCTAACATACAAACAGTGGAGGAGGAGGAAGGAGAAAAATAAAGAACCTATAGATTATGTTTGAAATAGCTTAGGAAGGGAGTTAAGTTAGACTGTTAGATAATAAGGAAGCTTCCCTTGAACCTTTGGTAACCACAAATCTAAAACCTGCAATGGCAATAAGTACATATCTATCAACAACCACCCTAAATGTAAATGGACTGAATGTACCAATGAAAGATGCAGAATTATAGCATGGATAAAAAACAAGAAACATCTATATTCTCCCTACAAGAAACTCACTTCAAACCCAAAGATATACAAGACTAAAAGTGAAGGGATGGAAAAAGATACTTTATGCAAATAATAGGGACAAAAAAACAGGCATAGCAGTACATATGTCAGACAAAGTAGATTTCAAAACAAGGAAAGTAACAAGAGACAAAGAAGAACATTACATAATGATAAAGGGGTCAGTCCAACAAGAGGATATAACCATTATAAATATCTATGCACCAAACACAGGAGAACCAGCATATGTGAAAGAAATGCTAATAAAATTAAAGGGGGAAATAGAATGCAATGCATTCTTTTTGGAGACTTCAACACACCACTCACTCCAAAGGATAGATCAACCAGACAGAAAATAAATAAGGAGACAGAGACACCAAATAACACATTAGAACAGATGGACATAACAGACATCTATAGTACACCCCACCCAAAAGCAGGAGGAGACACATTCTTTTCAAGTACACATGGATCATTTTCAAGAATAGACCACATACTAGGCCACAAAAAGAGCCTCAGTAAATTCAGAAGGACTGAAATTGTACCAGCTTCTCATACTACAAAGGTATGAAACTAGAAACAAATTATGCAAAGAAAACAAAAAGCCTACAAACACACGAAGGCTTAACAACATATTCCTAAATAATCAATGGATCAATGACCAAATAAAAACAGAGATCAAGCAATATATGGAGACAAATAAAAACAACAAATCAACAGCCAAAAATCTGTGGGATGCAGCAAAGGCCATTCTAAGAGGGAAGTATATTGTAATACAGGCTTACCTCAAGAAATAAGAACAGTCCCATATGAACAGTCTAAACTCACAATTAATGAAACTAGAAAAAGAACAAATGAGGCCCAAAGTAGGAGAAGGAGGAACATAATAAAGATCAGATAAAATTGAAAAGAATAAGAAAACAGAATCAATAAAACTAGGAGCTGGTTCTTCAAGAAAATAAACAAAATAGATTAACCCCTACGACTTAGCAAGAAAAAAAGAGTATATACACATAAACAGAATCAGAAATGAGAAAGGAAAAATCACTATGGAAACCACAGAAATACAATAAATTGTTAGAGAATACTGTGAAAAATTATATGCTAACAAATAGGATAACATTCTAGAAAAGTACAACCTTCCAATACTGACCAAGGGAGAAACAGAAAATCTGAACAAATTACCAACAATGTTAATTGAATGGGTAATAAAAAATCTACCTAAAAACAAAACTGTTAGATCAGATGGCTTCACCACAGAATTTTATCAAATATTTAGAGAAGACTTAAAACCCATCCTCCTTAAAGTCTTCCAGAAAGTAGAAGTGGAGGGAATACTTCCAAACTCATTCAAGGAGGTACCTTCTAATACCAAAACGAGACAGACACCACAAAAAAACAAATGACCACTAACCAAGAAGGTGAAAAGCCTATACCCTGAAAACTTCATGACACTTATGAGAGAAATTTAAAAAGACACCAATAAATGGAAACAGATCCCATGCTTATGGATAGGAAGAATTAATATTGTCAAAATGGCCATCCTGCCTAAAGCAATCTACAGATTCCATGCAATCCTTATCAAAACACCAACAGCATTCTTCAACAAACTAGAACAAATAGGTCTAAAATTCATATGGAACCACAAAAGACCCTGAATAGCCAAAGCAATCCTGAGAAGGAAGAGCAGAGCTGGGGGATTTTACTCCCTGACTTCAAGCTCTACTATAAAGCTACAGTAATCAAGATAATTTGATACTGACACAAGAACTGACCCATAGATCAATGGAATAGAATAGAGAGCCCAGATATAAATACATACATATATGGCCAATTAATATATGATAAAGGAGCCATGGATATATAATAGGATATATAATAGGAAATGACAGCCTCTTCAACAACTTATGTTGGCAAAACTGGGCAACTACATGTGAGAGAATGAAACTGGATTATTGTTTAACCCCATACACAAAAGTAAACTTGAAATGGATCAAAGACCTGAATTTAAGCATGAAACTATAAAACTCATAGAAGAAAACATAGGCAAAAATCTCTTGAATACAAACGTGAGTAATTTTTTCCTGAACACATCTCCTTGGGCAAGGGAAACAAAAGCAAAAATGAATGAATGGGACTTCATTAAACTAAAAAGCTTCTTCACAGCAAAGGATACCATCAGCAGAACAAGAAGGCATCCTATTGTATGGGAAAATATATTCCTAAATAACATATCTGACAAGGGGTTAACATCCAAAATATATGAAGAACTCACATGCTTCAACACCCAAAAAGCAAATAACCTGATTAAAAAGTGGGCAGAGGATCTGAACAGACACTTCTCCAAAGAAGAAATTCAGATCACCAACAGGCACATGAAAAGATTCTCTACATCACTAATTATCAGGTAAATGCAAATTAAAACCACAGTAAAATATTCCCTCACACCAGTTAGGATGGCCAACATTGAAAAGACAAGGAACAACAAATGCTGGTGAGGATACGAAGAAAGGGGAACCCTCCTACACTGTTGGTGGGAATGTAAATTAGTTCAACCATTGTGAAAAGCAATAGGGAAGTTCCTCAAAAAAACTAAAAATAGAAATACCATTTGACCCAGGAATTCCACTCCTAGGAATCTACCTAAAGAAAACAAGTTCCCTGATTCAAAAAGACATATGCACCCCTATGTGTACTGAAGCACTATTTGCAATAGCCAAGAAATGGAACAACCTAAGTGTCCATCTGTAGATAGATGGATAAAGAAGATGTAGTATATATTATACACAATGGAATATTATTCAGCCATAAGAAGAAAACAAATACTACCATTTGCAACAACATGGATGGAGCTGGAGGGTATTATGCTCAGTGAAATAATCCAGGCGGAGAAAGACAAGTATCAAATGATTTCACTCATTTGTGGATTATAAAAAGCAAAACTGAAGGAACAAAACAGCAGCAGACGTACAGACTCCAAGAAGGGAGTAGCAGCAGTTACCACAGGACAGAGTTGATAATGCTGGGTTGGGAGGGGTGGAGAAGGGGATTAAGGGCCATTATAATTAGCACTCACAATATAGGTAGGTCACGGGGAAGGCAGTAGATAGAGCACTGAGAAGAAAAGTAATGACTCTATAGCATCTTAGTACATGGATGAACAATGACTGCAATGGGGTGGGGGGACTTGATAATATGGGTGAATGTTGAAACCACCGTGTTGCTCATGTGAAAACTTTGTAAGATTGTATATCAATGGCACCTTAATTCAAAAAAAGAAAAAAAGAAACAGCCATGAAAAAAAAAAGAATATTTGTTGTTTTAAGTCACTGAGTTTGTGGTCATTTGTTATGGCAGCCCTAGTTGGCTAATACAGTCTATAATTATTTATGCACACACACACAAATATTGTTTTGGAAATTTTCCGTAAGGATCAGTTGTTCTCAACAGAAGTTGTGTTGCCCCATATAGAAACATATGAAGGTGGTTTGGGTTTCACATAATTGAAGGATGCTACAGGCTTTGCGTGGGCAACCTTTATACCAGTCCCACACAATTGTTCAGCCTTCTGCATGACTTTTGAATGTCTTACCAGACATTTATGTAGGTAAATAAACCAATTATAATCATTTAAGGTAAGAACCTTATGTTATACAAGTGAACACAAAGAATTTTTGCATAGTTTTAATATAAAACATTTTCTGAATTTTTTAGAAATACAATTACTGTAAAGTGAGAGCCATTTTTTTCTTTTTTCTTTTTCTTTCTGTTTTGGTTTGGAATCACTCTGATGGACTAGGCACATCTGCATTTGTAGCTGTTGCCTCAAGGCATCTGACAGTGTCATTTTACCTCTAATTTCATTATGCCTAAACATTTACATAATTAAATGGATATTGTATTAATCAGGGTTTTCCTGATTAGTATGAAGAGATTTATTATAAGGAACTGGCTCATGTGATTTGGAGGCTGACAAATCCCACCATCTGCAGGTGAGCCGGCAAGCTGGAGAAGGTGGTAGGTTTAGATGGTAGCTTAGGAAAATGCTATGGTAACTTGTATTATTTGATAATTGGAAATAAGGAACAGAAAATGGAACAGGACTGATGGAGTTTTAAAGCAATGTTCATGTTTAAATATGCATGATTTTCTGACCTGCACATATCAGCTTTTTCCACATCCCAAAGAATGGTAGTATATTCATGGACTATGTGAGGAAACTTCAGGTGTAGGGATGGAACTCTGGATCACAGGGTTAGCAATAACATTTACTTTTTATTCATTATAAGATTTCAAATCTTGTCTGTATTGATGACTACCTGTGTAAACTTGAGCAGCTGCTTAGCTGCTCTAGACTTTACTTTCTTAATCCAATAGGTTCGTGCTGTATGTTTCAGTTCTGGAAGCTGTGTCAAATGAACTGCCATGGTCTCCCCCACTTTACTTTAAAGGAGGCTGCACAGTTGTAGATAATGCCTGTTAGAAGATGTGGACACTTACCCAGCCCACCACCCCCACCGCAGACATAACCCCCTTAATTTCTTTAAGGTTGCTGGCAAGATACAGGAACGTCCCCTGAGTCAACAGAACACAGAAAACTGCCTTTCTGCTTGAAACTAGAAAAAAGGGGAAAACAGGAAAAATAATGTCTCAACAAATCATCCTGTCATACAAGCATGAAGAATTCTAAGCAATGTAACTCCAAAACGTCTTGCTCTAACTGTATGGTATTCTGTGCCTTTTAAGATATGGTATGACAAACAATTTTTTATAATCTGCAAATGATTCTTTGCAATGTATCCTTTTACTCTTTTTTTTTTTTTTTTTTACAAAGTAGAGGAGAGCTCATTTTTGTTAACAAATAGAAGTAACACAATTCATATGTCAGTTTTGTTTGTTTAAAAGGTTTGGGGACATGTAAAGTGCCCAGAAAATTCCAACAGGCTGTTAGAATCAAATGGATCAGGACAGCTTCTTCAGCAATTGAATATCACTCTATATAACACTTTTTGGCTATAAATGAAGGCCTTGTTCTATAAATGGTCTGGATGCTTCTGATTTTATTAAAACTGTACTGAGAAGCTTGTTTGCTGTGAATTCCTGCCTTGTGGCTAACGGTACACAAAGTCAATACAGTGCCTGAGCAGCCATTAGGTCTCACACCACCCATGTCCCAGGTGGAATTAAATGTCCTTAAGTAGGCTGTTTTGAAATTCTAGTTTTTAAAGCATGCTTTTCAAAGCAGCAAAGTACAAATGACCATGTGTACATTTACTGCACTATGCAACCTGTATATAAAAGCTATATTGAACATTTATGAGGGTTCTCCTCTGAAAACCTGCAGATCATAATAGAAAGTATGTTTTTGCATTTTTACCAAAACCTCAGGCTCCAATAAGCTGAGGGCTTGATGGAGCCAATAAGTAAAAAGAGGGAACTGGTTACCACAATATATAGATTTCCTGGCACAAATAAATCTTTTTCACTCACTTAGGCCTCAAGGCAAAGGAATGAAAGAATCCGAGCAGTTCCAGAACCCTTTGCCTACATCTGCCCATGCCTCTGCTCTTTTTCTTTTCAGAGAGCAAGTTAGAAGAAGCAAAGCAGGCAGTGCCCATGGGTTTTGAAAAATAGGGTGAAGTGGAATCCTGAGAGCCTCTTTCATCTTTTCCATCACATGTCTAATACATTCCCTTGACTTTCAAATTTCAGAACTATTGCACATTGTTCAAACAGCAAAGGTCTAATTATAAATATCTCCAAATGTTTGCATTAAGTAAATCAACTTGTTTCCAAGGTAATCTAGAAAGAAAGATTCATTGCACTTACCATTTGAAAGTATTTAAATATACTTGATTTCCTCCCAACTGTTTTTTTCTAACAGTCGGGGTCCAAATAGGAAACCACTCTATTTTCTTTTCAAAGAGAAATCAATTCAGGGAATTGGTTGGATGACAGAAGAGCTGGAAGCCAAACAAAAGATAGTGAAGCCACCCAGAGATTAACAATAGCTGAGAGAGACAAAGGGAGGCAGGGGGTTTCCAGAGCCCAGAGTCAGGGTCACCAGACAGTAGGGGACACCGCAGCAGACCTGTCCCGTGGAGCTGGGCCAAAGGGGAGATACAGCCACTGCTGGAGAAGCCACTCAAATCAGAGAGCTCTCCTGTGGGCTTCCTTCCTACTGCACTCCACTCTTCACCCCACCCCACAACCTCTCACCAGAATCTCACATTGCCCAAAAGCCAGAAGTCAGCTGACATGGGAATCTGAGAATCACAGCCTACCAGGCAGAGGTGAGCCCCACTGCCACAGAGAGCAGAGGAGGGGATGGGAAGTGATCTGAGGACACAGTGAGATCAGTTTCCTTGACCATTCTCTGACTTCTTAAAGCCAAAGAAAAAGATATATCTGACCTGACATCTCTAGCTTATTGGATAACAGGGGTGGTAAGGTTCTGAAGGCTGCAGCAGCGGAACTCCACCTGACCTCTCCCTGCAGCATCGCCAGTCTCTCTCTCCATAGCTCTTCTGGCCAAAGCTCTGTCCGGCGGACCCAGGGCAGGCTCCTCCAGGGGACCAGTTGCCTTTCTCTGAATTTTCTTGATGTTCTTTCAGTATTTCCTCATAGGTACACAGGAACTATTATTCAGTATTTCATGAGCTGTCATGAGGAAAAATGGCTGTAGGGTGAGTGCACAACTAACAGGGTGCTTTTGCCACAGGTGCTTCCAGAGCTCTGAGATAGAGAGAAAAGAAAGAAAAAAGTAACGTGACTGAGTGGTGAGTTCTATTTCCTGTCCTCTCAGGGAAGTACCTAGAGTAAAAACACCTTTCCCTTTCTTACTGCTTTCTTCTCCTTTTTAAGGAAAAAAGATACACCTAAGAGGAATATTTGGACTATCTAAGGGTGAGAAACAAGGGCTGTTCAGGAGAAAACAGCTGGAACATATCTGCAATGGGAGTGGACAAAAACGTTCTTTCTGTGCCATCAGTGAGCTGTTGCTGTGAGAAAGCCAAAATAGCAACCACTTTATCGCCAAAACAATTCTCCCTGAAGCCAGTTCCCAGCTTCCCAGGCACAGCGAGGACACTTCCCAGCTGTTCAGCAGTGCTGAGCAGTTCTTGGCTGCCCAGAGCCTCAGATCACAAGGGAAGCCGCCATGCCTGAGGAACTTCCCCTCACATGTGAAGAGGGGCACAGCAGGCCTGGGCAGGTCCTGCGGAGATAAGACACTACGCTGATCAATGTGAATGCAGGGAGGAAACTATTGTCTTTAATATAAATGACGTAACAGGCATCTATGGAGCACTTGCAAAGTGCCAGGCTCTCTGTTACCTCACTGAATCTTCAGAACAGCCCGATGTGGTCACCATTATCATTTTCCCCATTCCAAGATGTGGATCTTGGGTTGTCTGAGTATTGGGTTATTTAACAATATGTGTATATAACCAAGATCTGAGGTTGGGGTATTTGTCCAGTGTCACACAGCTAGTAAGTGGCAGATTTAAGAGTCAAACCTAAGTCTGTCTCTCCCCTAGATCCAAAGCTCTTCACCACTCTGTTCTTCTGCTTAGCAGGTCTAAGGGAAACACAATGGACAGTTTGTACATTCAATGCTAACCAGCCTCAAAAATAGCCCTGGTCTCATCACCTGTGACTTATGGAGGAGACAGTAAAACAGCATCATTACCTGTTTGTTGTCTTTGTGTAATATGTGAATATAAATGACCAATGAACGCTTTGCTCTTTTTAGTTCCAATGACTGAGTCACAGGATATCTGCTGATGTTCTAGAAGCTCATATTCTGAATCTCTCCAGCTACCCAAGCCTAGAGAATAAATGCTCCATTTATCCAATTTGTCTTCCCTCACCTTCTCAGCTGGGATCACCAAAGATTGGCATCTACAGGCTCAGCTCCTGCCCAGTTCTGGAGTGACTCCTCATCTCATCTTCAGGGAGAGTCACTTCTCTTAATGGCTTTTTGTCCCAAATCCATTGTGTCTGCAATAGGCACTAGTCATTCAGGTGCCCACCTAGTCTACTCTTCTCCAGCTCACATGCCTAGACTTTACTCTCATTCTTGCTGCATTGCTGGAGTCCAGATGGCTCATCTCTACTGTATAGACTCTTCTCCATGGAAGTTGACCCTGTTCCTTGAATTCTTACAACACTGATAGAAGTAAATCACTCAGCAAAGAATGACAAACACATCACCTAGCCTCCTTGATGAATGAACTTCCTTTAGACTTGCTGTCCTGGCCTTGACCGCAGCATCTTCCCAGGAACCACCTATCAATACTGCCACTTTTCCTTTCCTGCACTCATGGCATAGAGTGACCATTTAATTTGTTGTCTAAACCAGTGAGAATGAAAAGGAAGACTAAATTACATGAAGACAACAGGTGTACGCCAGGGCAGTCACATGGCAGACACAGCTCACTGATTCTATTCTTCTCAACAGTAATCCCAACAGCCCTTCAGAGAAGACTATGTGTAATCATATAATTGGCACCTTAGGTCACTTACTGCTCGTGTTTATGTGCACAAAACTCATTTCATTGTTTCACCAAAAATTTGAGTGTTCACTCAGCAAGTTTCCAGATGAGGAGCAATTTACTCTTTAAAAAAAGGGAAGACATAAATTTTCCTCACAAACAGATTAGAATCTAGTTTTGAAAGAAAAAACACCATAAAATGAATAAATAAACATATAAAATAATGCACTTTATGAGTGCAAATATTATCTTTCATAAATGAATTTCCCTGAGGGAGTGAAAAAGCAGGTAGCAATTTGCAAGGGAAAAGTTAGGCTTCAGCTTGAACATTACATTGTACGTTGCACTTCACTTGGAGTAGATACAAAACATAGCCCAGATTATAGAGTCAAAAAGTCCTGGATTTAAGTTCTGGAACTGCATTTACCAGCTGTGTGAAAATAATGGAAAACAGAAAATAAGTGCCAAAAGAGAGATAACCATGCTTTGAAAGTAGAGAAAAGGAAGAGACTAATTCTGAATAGAGATATTTGTCTTATTGTACTTCTTTATATAATTTTTCCCTAAAAATAATATTTATTGGATTTAGAAAGCACAAACAAGTACAAAGAAGAAAAAAATCCACAATCCTAACACCTAAATTGCCATTGCTGATATTTAAAAAGAACAACAGCAATAGGACTATAGATACATGATTAGGAAGTTCAAACAGTACAAAGAGATATCAAATAAGAATAAAAGTCTCAAGACATATACACCCCTATGTTTATTGCAGCACTATTTACAATAGCCAAGAAATGGAAGCAGCTTAAGTGTCCATCTGTAGCTGAATAGATAATGAAGATATGGTTACATATACACAATGGAATATTATTCAGTCATAAGAAGAAAACAAATCCTACCATTTGTAACAACATGAATGGAGCTCAGTGAAATAAGCCAGGCAGAGAAAGACAAGTATCAAATGATTTCACTCATCTGTGGAGTATAAGAACAAAGCAAAAACTGAAGGAACAAAACAGCAGGAGACTCACAGAACCCAAGAATGAACTAACAGTTACCAAAGGGAAAGGGACTGGGGAGGGTGTGTGGGAAGGGAGAGATAAGCAGATTAAGTGGCATTAAATGCCCCCCCCAATATTATGTATGCTAATGAGGGGCGCATGGGGAAAGCAGTATAGCACAGAGAAGACAAGTAGTGACTCTATAGCATCTTACTATGCTGATGGACAGTGACTGTAATGAGGTATGTGGTGGGGACTTAGTAATAGGGGGAATGTAGTAACCACAATGTTGCTCATATGAAACCTGAGCATAAGATTGCATATCAATGATACCTTAATAAAAAATAAATAAAATGAAAAAAAAGAATAAAAGTCTCTTTCTACTTCTGCAATATCACTCCTTGAAGTTCCCACCCTTAGCATTTTTTTATATATCCTTTGAAGGAAAAAAAGGCATTTATCTGCATGTATATATTCTGTACCTTCCTTTCTTTCATTTAATAGCATATCTTGGAGGTCTTTGCATCTCAGCACAAACAAATCCCCTTTATTATTTTACCAAGAGCAAAATTGTCCATCACAGAGATTATAATTCATTTAACCAGTTCTTTCATTTATTTGTTTGTTTTTGCTACTATAAGCAATGCTGTGACATACGTTTGAGCCTCCTTAAATGAATGTTGCTTACAAGTGGTTACCAAAGGGGAGGGGTGGGGGGGTAGGTGGGGAGGGAGGGAGAAAGGGATTGAGGGGCATTATGATTGGCACACATGGTGTGTGTGGGGGGGGGATCATGGGGAAGACAGTGTATCACAGAGAAGACCAGTAGTGACACTATAGCATCATACTATGCTGATAGACAGTGACTGCAATGAGGTGTGGGGGTACTTGATAATATGGGTGAATGTAGTAACCACATTGTTTTTCATGTGAAACATTCATAAGAGTATATATCAATTATATCTTAATATAAATAGATGATAGATAGATAGATAGATAGATAGATAGATAGATAGATAGATAGATAGATAGATAGATGTAGCTTAACCTCACAGGCTTATTAGCAGTGAAAAATGCTATATGTATTTTCACCATGTTTCCAGAGTTCATTCATTGTCTGTCCTTGCCCATTCCCACCATCTTCTCCTCACCTCTAGTTTCCTGTGTCCTTAAGCCCCTGAGTTTTGTCAGGCAGTCTTGTCTTCTATGGGTTGCCTAGCCTCCTTGATGAATGAACTTCCTTTGCACTTGCTGTCCTTCCCAGGGACCACTATCAATATCTGCCCTCTGGCTCACAACTTTTAAGTGTGATTGAGAAGCACCCTCCTTGGGCACTTGTAATTTATAATAAATATATATATAAATTTGCTTTCATCCCCAGTTCTAGCACAAAGCACCAAAAGCCCCTGGAATTTTCTAAGTGGTAGGAGCAACAATGGTGTCTTTTGTAGGCTCCTTTCAGAATCCCCCTTAGATCACCAGATGGTGGCCGGTCACCAAAGGAACCAACCATGTGATTAAAGAGTTGGAATTTTCTGTCTATCCAACCCAGACCCCCCCCAGGGAGTGAGGAGGAGCTGCAGATTGAGCTCAATCTGATCTAATCAGTGTTGCCTGTGTAATGAATCCTCCAGAAAGACCCAAAAGGAAGGGATTTCAGAGAGCCCCCTGGTTGGTGAGCAAATGG